CTCCACCTAAAGGGGAAACACATTTTTAAAAGCAAAACTGCAATGAGAAAAAAATCCAAATATAATGATGTATCTATTTCTTGAGTGTTTCTATGCTGTCCCATGTCACATTTCTGAATAGCCCGGACTAGGCAGATAAGTCATCCGTCACTCTGCAACACTCTACAGGCCCTCAAGCTGGCCTTACACAGCTTGAGTTTCAGCCAGATTCCAGTGAATTGGCTTAATTTGAGCCTTGGGTGGTCCTGTGGACACCACTTAGATCAACAAACTTCAATTTAGAAATTGAAGAAGGTGGGTGGAAAAAGTCAGCCAAACAGTGACTGCAGGCAATCAGCCAATAATAGGAACTAGGGATGTCCCGATACCACTTGTTTAAGACCAAGTACAAGTACTTTCCCTCAGGTACTTGCTGATACCAATTACCGATACTTTTTCTTAAAGGGACATGTGACATTTTTTTCTAAAACAATACAGACTGATAGTTTTAGGGCAGTTTCTCGCCAGACTGCGTCCAGATCTCACCAGGCTGTGTGTGCCGATCTCACCAGGCTGCGTGTACAGATCTCACCAGGCTTCATGTACAGATCTCACCAGGCTGCATGTACAGGTTTTACCAGGCTGCGGGTGCAGATCTCACCAGGCTTCGTGTTGAGATCTCACCAGGCTTCGTGTGGAGATCTCACCAGGCTTCGTGTGGAGATCTCACCAGATTGCATCCAGAATCTGTACGCAGCCTGGTGACACCTAGACGCAGTCTGGTGCCATCTGGACTCCAGATGTCACTACGCTGCTTCCAGATCTCACGAGGATGCATCCAGATGTCACCAGGCAGCATCCAGATCTCACCAGGCTGCGTGTGCAGATCTCACCAGGCTGCGTGTGCAGATCTCACCAGGCTGCTTGTGCAGATCTCACCAGGCTGCGTGTGCAGATCTCACCGGGCTGCGTGTGCAGATCTCACCGGGCTGCGTGTACAGATCTCACCGGGCTGCGTGTACAGATCTCACCGGGCTGCGTGTACAGATCTCACCGGGCTGCGTGTACAGATCTCACCGGGCTGCGTGTACAGATCTCACCGGGCTGCGTGTACAGATCTCACCGGGCTGCGTGTACAGATCTCACCGGGCTGCGTGTACAGATCTCACCGGGCTGCGTGTACAGATCTCACCGGGCTGCGTGTACAGATCTCACCGGGCTGCGTGTACAGATCTCACCGGGCTGCGTGTACAGATAGCACCGGGCTGCGTGTACAGATAGCACCGGGCTGCGTGTACGAACGGAGTGGGTGCTGGTACGTGCCCACTCAGAGAGGCTGTATTTGCGGTGTGGGGCTGCCTTGAGCAGTGGCTGCGCCAGGAGGGAGGAGGAGGGCATGTGGGACCTGGCAGGCAGCGTCAAAGACAGCTACCGCCAGGTCCCCAGAAGGCTGCTTCAGGACCCTACAAGCGCGGGACCTGAGGCGGCCGATCCGATTAAATTTAAAGGACCAATATTGGCCTTCAGTATCGGGGCATTTTCACAAGTACAGGTACTCGTGAAAATGCCCTGTATCGGCCCCGATACCGATACTAGTATTGGGACATCCCTAATAGGAACATATTCCAAATTGAGTAACCTGGGGTTTTATGGTACCTGCTATATCTCCACATAACCCTTTTAATGAAACCCACATTCAAAGTCTGGACAGGCAAAGGTTTTGTACATCTAATCACTAATCTCCACATATGCACTTATGGGCAACACATTCTTACCATGTTCAACACAAATATGGGCAAATATGGTATTAAAACTCTCTGACCTATAATACCACACGACACCCTTCAAATATTTGATTAATTTAACCCATACATAACTCATCAAACTAGATATTTTAGGTACCTCAAGATGCAATGTGCAATATAAGCACAATTTACAGAGAATGCCAACACATGGTCAGGACCCAATGAAGCCTTATTGACAGGAAATTATGAATATATACCCATTTAACATGTACAGATGTGCTACGTTTATTACAAAAAAGTGAGTCTGCGGCGGGAGGCGGCGGCGCTGGATGTGGGTGGTGTGGGGGTAATTGGAGGATTGAATCTTTGGAGACAAGCAGGTGGGCATCCGTGTTCGGTCCACTGCCCTTTCTATTTTCTAACTATTCGGCCAGCGAACTGAGCGACCGAAATACTCCTCTTATACTTGTACTGTGTCTCCCACCTCCTACCTCTGACTCAACATTGGGACTTGGCTCATGCTTTACCCCTCCCAACCCTAAGGGGGACTGCGTGGGTGCACGGCTCGGATAGACCCGCCCAGATACATATATATCAGCCTATGCAAATTGACATTCCCTGTTTCCTGAAGAAGCGCCTGTGTGCGTGAAACGTCGTATGAGCTCCTCCATCTCCAAACCTTTCAACTTCATACAGTATTACAGCAATTAATGGATTGTTATCTTGATGTTTAGCTTTGATCTTTGCAACATTATCATGTCAATTACTACTCATTATTTTTTATTTCTTGTATGTTAAAAATCATGTTATGGGAAAGGTCTACATGGAGTGAGCATACAGGGCGCTATCTACTTAGCTGATTTTTTTAATGGATCTTTGATCCAGCTTTTTAGAAAATTATCACAATTAAAATTAACATTTTTTATATGGATTCTTGCTTTGTGGAGTTGTCTTTTTGGTGCTTTTAAACCCCCACTTTCTGTTCTTGCTACTACGTTTATTACAGAAATGGGAAAACAGATGTTCCCTCTCTCTAGAGAGAATACATCATGAGAAGAACATCTTGAAATCTATTCTTGCTTAATGAACTCAGCCAGAGATAAAGTCAAATTCTTACACAGGGTGTATGTCACATCCCTTAGAATGTACAATATTAACTGCAATGTTTCAACTGACACTAAACTTAGGAGTTAAATCTTAAAAATGCATTCGGGTACCTTAACTGTCAACAAACTGTATTTTATTTGTGTATCGCTCAGCTATAGTTCATCAAATCATCTCTGAATTGGTGCTGGGACTGTCCTTCCTTCCGGAGGGTGGCTACTTTTGTTCCTCATGGTCCCTGTGTAAGTTGTAAAGTAGCCACCGCTCCAAGCTCACTACTGTCATAGACTAGAATCTCAATACAAATTGATAAACTAAATGTGAGATTGTAGTCCATCATATGAGCAAGCTTGATATTTTTATATTTATACAGCTATTCCTACCTGACCGAGTTCCATTCCTGCGACTAGGTCGGTAAACGAATTGGTCGTTAAGCGAGGGACTGTATACAGTAGTACCGTGTTTGCCCGAAAATAAGACACTGTCTTATATATTTTTTGGCTCAAAAAAACACACTGGGTCTTATTTTTGGGGTAGGTCTTAAGTACCAATCCATACTTATTCATGTAGAAAAGTCTACATGTATTCATGTACACAAATATGGTGATCAGGGCAATCAAGGGTGCCGTACCTTTCCAAGAGCAATATGGTAACCAATCGCTGGGCAGAATAAGTGAAGCGCACTTTCACTAACGATTCCTCACAGGTGGAGTGCATTTGGTATCACTCAGCCTGTGATAGGAGCTGGCGCTATAGAGGAGGCATCGGCTTATGCGGCTCTGCTCCCTCTGCTGCCGCCTCGCTTCCTCTAGCGCTGGCTTAGTTGGCACCGCTGATTCTCTCCCGCGGCTCTTCAAGTTCCCCCTTATGCCACCACCGGCCCTGGAAATGGTCACAACTAGGTCTTATTTTCGGGGTAGGTCTTATATTTTAGCAATTCCCACAAATAGTACTAGGTCTTATTTGGGGTAGGTCTTATTTTCGGGGAAACAGGGTATATTAGTACAGTACTGTACTGCAGTGTTGGAGATATACAGCACTATACAGTGTACTGTAAATCTGTAAATACAGTACCTACCAAGAATAGTAGCGGAGAACGGAGTTCAGTACTGTATGCAAAATGAAGTTGGTGAGACGCCGCACTGCCGCTGCCACATTCCCACACGTACTGCCGGAGAGCTGGACGTAAGTGTGGTGAGCGGTTGCTCAACAGGTAGGTCGTTAAGCGAGGTATAGCTGTATATATATCTATATATCCACCCCCCCCCTTGTTTAAATAAAAGATAAGATAAATAAAAAAGTAAAAAAGTAAAAAATACAAATAAAATTGAGGAACCTGGTCCTGGGGCAGCAGGGAGAGTAAATCCCTATGTATATATCATGGAGGCTAATCTATTGGTTTTTATAAGAATCACCTGTGGACATATTTCTATGCTACTAAATAGTTTGCTCTAGAAAAATAAATGGTGAGTCTGCCATTTTTCCTTTTGGTAGATGCTTTGATTGATGTGAATCTGTTTGCATTTGACAAGCCTACACATTCAGAATTCATACTGAGTCAAACCAATCATGTGATGCTTTGTGCCTGTTTTGAGATTTATCCTATTTGACAGCAGATACACACACTGCAATGGAAATACAGTTTAGGTGAATGGGAAAAGTCTGGAAGTTGCAGCAAAATCTTTTAGTACATAGTTTTTCTGTACAGATCACATACACAGCATCACCTTATTAATACATGCTAAATAGCTCAACATTCCAAAGTAATTTCATAGAAGGAAACATAAAAATACTTGATTTTAAATAGATATCAATATAGCAGTAAAGTAGAATATAATATGCCACAACATACCATTACATCCCTCCATCATTGACGTCATCTGAAAAAAGAAAAAAAAATTGTACTAATAGTACTATATATCTACCATTTATTAGTTAGTATAGTATGTAGTATATTATGACTAGCATCATCTAGTGGGCAGTGACTAGCAGTTAGGGTCTGGAACTCACTGCCACAGGCGGTGATTTCAGCAAATAATGTGGAATTGTTCAAGAAACGTTTGTACGATTTCTTAAGAGACCGTAATATACAGGGGTACAGGTACTCCTAGAATGAGATCCTAATAGGTTGGACTTGATGGACTAATGTCTTTATTCAACCTCAAATACTATGTAACTATGTAATCGTTTAATTAAATTCTGTTTCCAGCGTACTGATTCCTTCCACCTCTACTCAATCTGCACATCTTTCAAGATCAAATTGACACTTAGTTATGTTCACAGCTCTTTGACAGATTATATGCAAGAGCATCCAGTGTGTATGGCATCAGACCTCATCACCTGTTAGCACCTGTTATGGGTCTTGGCATGAGACTGTGCTCTTGGTAGACTTTTGACACTTTTGGCAGATAATACAGTAAGTAAATAGGTTAATTTAGTGTTAAGGGCTAGGTTAGGGGTTAAGGTTAGGTTCAAGGAGTCCTCAGGAGACTAAATTACCTTGCCCTAAATGGGCGAGTGAGAGTGTCTTTTTATGTTCTTTGGTATAAAGTTAGGAGTACCTGGTACAAATTGTCAGATAGTTTGATATTGATATGAAATGTTATTCTGCATGGATACACTGAAACCTCAGCTTTTTCAGCCTCAAAGCAGCCATTTTGATGACTCTCATCTGGATTAGTTAAAACACAAAATATTAGGCCCTGAAGCAAGGTAAGAACCTTCCCCGAAACATGCTGGCTGTATTTTATTCAATAACTATTTCATATCAATGTCAAGCAATCTATGTGTTGAACCAGGCTCTTTTAACTTGATACCAAAGAACGGTTGAGCAGTTCGTTCACCACGACTGGAGAGGCATAGTAACATAGTAGGTGAAGTTGAATAAAGACAAGAATCCATCCAGTTCAACCTATATGTGTATGTGTGAGTGTCTGTATATATACTGTATATGGCTCTAACACTTCCCATATCTTTGTATATGAAGTGAAAGAAGAAACTTATTGAGAAGTTTCTTGAATTTATCTATGCTATCAGCGGATACCAATGCCTGTGGAAGGGTATTCCACAGTTTTAGGCAGTAGCCTGAGACCACAATCAGGTCACTTACCTTTCACTGTGCCATCATTTTAGATTAACTTCCTAAAAGGAGAAGTCACTTTTTGGATCTACAGTAAATATAAACTATAAATATAAAGTTGTATCCATCCAGCGCTACTACATACCTACTAGTGTCTCTTTAAAGTTAATTTCCACCTGTGTAAGTGATTAGCATTTATTGTGGTAATGTAGAGGTGCAGTGATGATGTGCATGTGTGCACATTTTCATGACTCATATTGCTGGCTTTCTTCATTTTTTTAAATAACTTTTTATTAGGCCTGAAGCCTAAAAATTCAAAATGTTTTCCACAGGAAACTGACTCTGACACCGGGGTCGGATTGGAAAGCAGGCTGTAAACTGCTGCCCTTCTCCCTGTGATTCTGTGTAACACGATCACTAAACACTAGCTCTGTCTTTGCACACAATACCCTGTCCCTGGGGGGGGAGGGGGGGGGTTGCCACTATGAATACAAATGAATGGGAGTAGAGAGCTCAGTTGTAATATACACAGATTGCTTGCAGAGCACAGAGGTGGCCATTTCCATAAGGATATGAAGGGAAAAGCTAACAAAAAATGTAAGTTTTTGTGTTCATATACAACAACTGCATCTGCCTGCTTCATGTACATTCATTCCTGTCATATGTTGTTTTAAAAATACCTCCGCAAAGGTGGAAATGGGCTGTAATGTTAGGTCTAGGATTTAGTATGTACTTTAAGGTGCATATCAAGGCAAAAAGAAAGAACAGAAAAAAAGGATTTAGCACATCACTGCAATCTAGAGACTTCTAGATTGCAGTGATGTGTTACTTGCAGATTGCAGTTACTCCCTGTTGCATCCCTTTAAAGATCTTGCAAATAGAGAAAAATACCTGTTGACCTGCCACAAATGCACCCCATTTACTATTGTGCGCTTACAACACACAGCATTTTTGTAGACTGAACAGTGTCAACCCTGTACAGTTGTGTTTTGCTAAACTACAGAAGCCCTCCCCCTATCGTCATCTCAACAACATAGGGACTAAGTATTCTGTTGTCCAAGATTAGAACAGGGAGGGCTAAGCTGACTACTTAAGATAACACAGAAAGTGTGCACACAACACGCAACATCTCTGAATTAGACATGTGCGATTCATTTTCTTCCTAATTGAAATTCGTAAGAATTTTCATAAATTCGGATGCATATGAATTTCCGAATGGCAGAAATAATGAACATTTCGGATGCAACCAAATGAACGAATTTCTGAAAATATGTATAAATTTTAATTTAGGTTTTTGTTTCTGTGGACTGTAAAATAAAAATGTACTTTTTTTTCCCCTTTTCCCTGTCACTTTGCTGCAACGAATATTCTTACAAATCTGAATCACGAACCGAACTTTCGGAGTCCCGAAAAACGAAATAACGAAATATCCAAATGAAAGGAACTGAAACTAAATAAATGTTTTGCCCGCTTACATGTCTACCTCACATGCTGTTCTAACGAGCTCCTCCACACCCTTTACTCTGTTGAGCAGACCATTGAAAGTGCTTTGTTATATTTGTTTGACAACTGCAAAAAATACCTGTTGACCCTGCAAGAAATCCAGTGAGCTTGTAAGTTCCTGTGCACTATGCTGCAGCATCTCAATTATTGTGACCACCCCTGTGAACAACAAACCCCTCCCCCACCCATGAGATGTTCTGTGTTTTCTAACAGTTTTTTTTCCGAGGGTGACAACACTGCTCTTCCATGTAAGCTGTACAGTTAGCTAGTGTTGTCACCCTAGGACTGGAAGTTAGTTACCAGTGGAAAAAAAGGAAAAAGCTGGCAAAAAGAAACTGAATACAGCCACCACATCTATGGGCTAATAAAGTACATCTAAAGCAGTGGTTCTCAACTCGTGGGTCGCGACCCAAAAGTGGGTCGTGACACCTTCTGCAGTGGGTCGCGGTATCATTTCTTCATGGAGCGGCCCATCTGCAGTAGAGCGAAATAGAGAGGGGAATTTGTAGTACAGCTTGTGAGAACTCCATAATGTAAAACTGTCCCCTCTCTCCCGGCCTCCCCCGGGCTCTCCGATAAGTGGTATGGCCCGGGGAGAGAGGGGACTATTTCCTCACTTTCGGGCCGGCGCATTAATATCAGGAGCCGCGGCGCCCGACAATTAAGTTATAGTTCCGGTCTGCACTGGAGATACAGCAGTTAACAATCCGCCGCTGTATCTACTGTACTCTCCAGTCCAGATAGTTCAGTCGGCTGGAATCAGAGAAAGGTAGGCAGGCAGATAGGGAGATGTGCACTGTGGCAGGACATGGGACACTGATGGATATTATGTATTCCAAGCCCACATAATATCCATCACTGTCCCCTGTCATAATGTATGTTCATTAAATACACAATGAATGTTATTACACAGACTGGGCTCAGAATACATAATGTCCATCAGTGCCCCCTGTCATATTGTTCTCTGTTAGTGCAGAAGCTGTGGGGGGGGCTCCGCTGCAATTTTTTTAACCTGCAGCAGAGCCTATGCTAATGCACCCCACCCCCCCAGCTTCTGCACTGACAGGGGACATTAGGACAGGGTACATTGATGGACATTATATATTCCAAGCCCCCCATAATGTCCATCAGTATATCTTGTCATATTGTCTCCTGTCAGTGCAGAAGCTCTGGAGGGCATTAGCAGGGGCTTAGTAGAGAACTTGCAACGGTGCCCCTGCTAATGCTTCTGCACTGACAGGGGACATCATGACAGGGGTCACTGATGGACATTATGTACACCACCAACCGCCATAGTTTTCGTGGTTCCCTTCTCCTTTGGGGGACTCGGGACCATTGCAGTTCATTCAGAATAGAGAGCGGGAGCAGGCCGGTTCTGATCTGCTGTACTGACAGTGTTTCCTGTCTCAGCAGTAACAAGCTAGGCTGCACGGGAGATGGAGCACAATGCTGTGCTTGATCACCTGTGTTGGAGTGCAGGGGAGACATTAGGGGTCATTAGACCCCAGATGTTTCCATAAAGAGAACCTGTCACCTCAATACAATATCCCATAGGAGCTTGTTAGCTCCTATATAATAGTAATAAAGTTAAGGGGAAAAAAATTAAAGTCATAAAAAATAATAAAATAAATATTTAAAAATTAAAACCAACCCCACCATTTGCATGAGAATAAACATGCGTGTGTGGGGCATTCATGTGTATGCACCAAACATGTTAGGTATCACCGCGAACGTTGGAGTGAGAGCAATAATTCTCGGGCCATAATTCATGGTTAACGCTAAACTGATGACCTGTACAGGCTTTTAAAACGTCACCTATGGACAATGTTGTGAAGCATAGTTTTTCGCCATTGCTGAGGTGCATGCAATTTTAACACTTGACATGTTTGGTATCTATTTACTCGATGTAACTGCATTTTGTATATGTAACCAAAAATGTGACCATGTGTCACATTGTTATGCCTGATAAAGGGACTGCATCTGGCTCCTGTCAGTCATTACGGTGCCACCCCCTCTGATGGTATCTGTGAGGGCCACACATCCCTTGTGACGCCCCTGCCTGCAATACTGCCCCTACTCCCTACTAAAGCTCCAAACCCCCACATACCCCCCACAATACAATTCCATACCCCCAATAATGTTTAAAATGTGCATATATATACGTTGCTGAATAGTGCACAAGTTGTTTTGTGTAATAAATGAAAATGTCTCAGAAATGAATCATTTTTGGGTCACGACTTAATGACCAAGGAAAAATGTGGGTCCCGAGGTTACACAGGTTGAGAACCACTGATCTAAAG